TGGTCAGCAGATAACTCCCAGCACCATACATTGTTTGATCCGTCTGCTACATTGTACTTACATCGTATATGCAGTGCATACTTTTGAGAATTTCAAATGTATTCTTGTCTGTTCTATAGTGTGCATTTAGATATAGATACTCTTATTTTACAGTGAATATGGATATTTTTGCTTTAACCTTTATTTGTCTTCTATTTTACCATTTGTTTTCGGGTTGATAGCTCATATATGAGACTTCAAAGGTCTTTTATTTTGAAACTCTACATCAGATTGTCCTGATTTTCTCTGAGTGACTAGATGGGTTATCCTGCTATCACCCTGAAGTTATATTAGTCTTTGATACTGGACAGTTTTTGTTTTATTCTTATCTAAAAACAGAGGGATGATAGCTAATATATGAGACTTCAAAGGTCTTATATTTTGAAACTCTTTAAGTTTCACATTCACTCAGTTATAATGTGGTAGTTATACGTAGTTTGTCTACATTATTATTGATCACATTAGGCCTATATATAGTACATATTTTAATATGTTTGGTATAATTGTTATTGACCGAGTAAGCACTTTTATTTTGAAGGCAGTTTTTCCAGGCCGCTACCGTAATGCATAGCATTTTCACGCACCGCAAAAACAACGCGGATGCTGGCTTGACTGTGTTTTCCGAAGTGGAGGCTGGCTTGACCGCAGTGTATTACTTTACATGCATACAATATTATTCATTAAAACGGTTTGTGTTGAAATGTAAGTTACAATTTAAAGTTTTGCTACCGATTATTGGATACTTGCAAACACCTTGTTAAAACTGTAAAGTCTATGGTTAAACAGGTCTCACATGAACACAGTGAGCACAGCTTTTAATAGGGAGCATGTTGCTGAGAGAGCAATGAGGTGTTGCACGTAAAACAACACTGTTCACATTAATCTGTGCAGTTTGGTTAAACGTTACTGTCAGTATCTTTATCCTCAAGTGTCAACCACAGGCAAACAATGCAACACTGCCTTGTCAAAACAGACGGAGGAGAATATGAGTTATGAGTAGCTGGATAAAGCACAAGGTGTCCGAATTAAATGCAAAATTAAGATTTCAAGAAGTCTTACCTCTTAGTTGTTAGATGCTTCAACAAGCCCAGACAGCCTCGAGTGTTATATAAAAAGAGGAAATGGCACATTGACGCTAGCTAGCCGCTGTTTTAAGTAGTAACATCAGATGCAGTGCAACTACAGAGTCAGCCATGCTGACCGCCATTGTTCTCAACATGTCATGAGAGAGAGTAAACTGAGACTACGCCCTTTATACAAAAACTGTATTTATCTTGTTTATCCATGTCGGTGCACCTGACTTTTCAGACGTGGCCACTAGCTTCTAACGATCATTGCGCAATGTCAAGCTAACCTCAATTAAACAGCTCACACAAGAAAACATTTCAAAATAAAACCTTTACTCTTGGCGGCGAAAGCTCTTAGGGTAAAGTGAAAGTCGTGCAGTAGTTTAAACTCATTTAATTTAATGAACCGGTCTGAACATGTTAAGATTAGAGGTTGTTTTTCAAGATTTGTATTTTTTTAATTATAAGTTAGAACCTTTGGCTGCAATAAAAATAAAAGCTTTTATTTTACAAGATACAATCGCTGCGTTTCCGGTGAGGCAAGGCAGATTTATTTATATAGCACCTTTCAACACAAGGCAATTCAAAGTGCTTTACAAAAATTAAAGACATGAAGAGCATCAAGAAACATATTATAAAATGATATCTAGAAACACTCATTTAAAAGCAATGATATAAAACGACATTTAAAAACACTCATTTGAAAGCAAAGATAAAAAGCAGAGACTCTTCACAACTTTCCGAAGCTGCCACGAAACAAAGATTGTGCACAGACAGTGCACCATTGTTACCTTCCAAGTTAACCATTTGTAAGTGTGTTTGCTGTAATTTAAAAATAATGCAATTTTTGATTTCATAAAAAAATCTGACGCTTATTTTAAAAACAACCTGAACAATTTAAAATAGGCTCTCTATGTTCTAGTCAATGTTGACCAAAGACCACCATGTAGGGCATTGACCTCTCATTATTTCCAATAAATGTTTATTAATGGGCAATACATCCATGGGTCAACGTTTCAATGTACATCGATCTTATACTGGGCAGAATGAACTACCACACAGCTCCAGAACCGAAACGTTTGAACTGGTTAACCGTTAAGGTCTTTCAAATAGATAGAGACTTTAGACTTTCATGTGCTCCTTTATTTGTATTCCAGATACTGTGAAGATACTTTGCAATTATTAAGGTATATACTTTGAATGTAAATATACAGTGCTAGAGTGCATAGAAAAGTTAAAATAAAAAGTTAAGAATGCAAAAATAAAGAACCCCCCTGGACTTCGACAACAAAACCACAGGCACAGGGCATACCATTTAACACAGGCATGGCCAAACTAAGGCCCGCGGGCCATATATGGCCCGTTGGGTTTTTTAATCCGGCCCGCCGAATATTGGTACAAAATTGTCCAAATTGTAGTAAAGACCGCATTAATTTTCCCTTTTTTCTGCAATACCCGACATTTCAGTTGCTCCCACGAGCGCACTCTAGACACAATATACCTTTTTGCTGGAGTCTGGTCTATTCAGCTGGCCCCACTCGGCAACCCGGCAAGATCTAAGAACCAAATACGTCAGGCTTGCATTGGAGGGGGTCGAGATTAACCTGAGCAATAACAGTTCATGGCGAGTACGCATACAAGTTGTAACAAGCAGTAGCGCTGCGCAAAGTGACTAGAACGTGACCACACACTTATATAAAGTCAGGCAACAATAACCAGGCTTAGTGTGATTTTGTTTATTTTTACCTTACTTTAATGACCATCCGTTCACTATTATTGACCATTGTGAAGAAGTAGACGTTTTCCTGTTGTTTTGTACTATTGCAGCAGCTATCGGATGGAATCAATACATGGGCTATGTGGCCATCACAAGTAAAATCTTAACAAAAACTACGCCGGTAAAATATGCGTGTAGAAAACGGCTTATGCCACAATATGATAGCAACAAGTAGTCAAGATAGTCTGATTAGCTTTGGTTGCTATGCCAACATCTCCTGTAGAATGCCAAAGAAACTTTCATAACAGTGTTGTGAGGCCAAACAGCGTAAATTCATACTGAAACACATTCACTGATGGGGATGGGGGATATTTGTCAGCTGCTTGTGTGACAGTCAGACAGTGAATACTTTACAGCGGCCGCTGCCGTGAGTTAACGGGGGAATAAACTCCGGTGGAAGAGCAGCGCTGCAGCCAGAACCGGACCTACCCAATAAGCGACATAAGCGGCTGCTTAGGCCCCCGCAGCCACTCATAATGTTCCCCTCCACGAAAATCTTTAGTAAAAGGCGAAAGATGTATTGTTCCGAAGAGAAACAAGAGTGTACTTCCATAGCAAACATTTTAAGCATGAAAAATAATCTCAGTACACCGTCGCCGTGATAAGTGTTTAATTAATTTAGTTAATATGCCTATATTGCCTACTCTCAAAATCATCATCGTCATCATGCATTGATTGTATTGACTGGCACTGCTACTGCTGCACTGGCGCTGCGCTAGTGAGTGAGTGAGTGAGGCAAGGCCGTAACCATGGAGTCAACATTGGGGGGGACCAAAACTGAAATCAACATTTGAATACTAATTTCCTGCCATTCTAAAGGAAAATATATAAAAATTCACTAACAAATGGGATACTTTTAAATGTTTGTCTAATAATGTCTAATAGCGCATTGTATTACATTGCTCTATTTCATAGAAGTATTTTTTTATATCACTTATA